TCTTCACTTCGACTTCCCTACACAGGGTCACTAAAGTTTATCTCTTTTTAACTCTCTTAAAACAAGACCAGCCACGCTTTGTGAAACTCACAGAAATCTAATCCGATCACTTCAATCCTTTTATTGCTCAACAGATTCACTAAAAGCACAGAAAACTGGTTATTATGTTCGGTTATTCTTCCAGAAATTGCTGCAAATTACTTTAAATTAGAAGATTGTTGTGGTGTTCCCTCTCCTGTAGTGTGTTATTTAGGTTTTAGTGCATGTAAATGGTCTGCAGAGGCTAAAATCCCTACATTTTTAAAGATGGTAACGGCCTCAGGGCAGTGGAAACAGGAGGGTTCTCAGTGATGGAAGAGGTTTAGACTTTCTGCTGTCCTGATGTCAATGGTCAGAACGTTGTGGTGTTCCCTTTCCTGTAGTGTGTTTTAGTGCATGTAAATGGTCTGCAAAGGCTAAAATCCCTGTGTTCCCTGAAGTTATAGCGAGTGTATTATTTGCCTTTTCTCCCTCCCTACATTACTATCAATTATTGACCCAAAATGTCATTCTGTAATATTTTGTGGAAGCGGCGATGTTGTCGGAATATTGATTTTAGAGTATTTGGACAAAGAGATTATGATTATTTATAAAACGGATAAGTAAAATCAAGCAATCTGATTGGTTCTTAGCCGTGATATAATGAGCGTATATCACGGGTAGAATTGTAGTTACTTTTCACAAGTCAGTTACGAAACTAACTAACAAAGCTTAAGATGGAAACATTGAAGGGATAATGTGCAGCGACGCGGTCATTATGGGGAAAAGAACACCGACAGGCTGATCAGGAGCCCGACGTGAAGCGGAGGGATCTAGATCTGCATGAAGGTGTTCTTCATAATGACCAAGTCGCTGCACATTATCACACGGCCACATTCTCAACAAAGTAATGATATGACTCCCACTATTAATTGAAATGCTTTTATGGATTTAGAAAATGATTTTATTGATTTAAAAAATAGTTGTATGTATTGATTTAAATTGACATGCATCCGCTAAGGAAAATAGTCCGTTGTTACTGTTTAAAAAAAAAAACGTAGCAACGCAACGGCAGGAAGGCGGAGCTTTGTGATTACAGATTTGAAAACATCGTTGCTTGCTTTAAAAGTAGCACAATTCATGATGTCAAACCTTGGAAAGTATCTAGATATCTCTGCCCTAATGCCAAAGGAACTGCACACTGAATATGTTTTGCCGTTTGATGTCTATGTCTGGACCGCTGCGTAAAAAGGAGGGTTTCTGCCCCGTTACTTCTCCGCTGTTTTCAGCCAAACTGTATACAGTTAAATCGACCGGACTTCTTTCTGCAGATTTGAGCGTCCTTAACAACGGTCAATAAGTCCTTGACAGCGGTCTGTCTGTTCTGGATTAACAACGTGTCACGTGTTCTGAATTGGCCAATCAGAATCGAGTATTCAACTAAACCATGTAACAATGAAGGTTAACTTGGACCTCCGGGTGGTCTTACTATGGAGGAGTGGATTGAGCAGTGCCTATCTCCAGAAAGCACCTAAACGACGACATGCAGAGGAAGAGCAGGTAGACCAACTGACCGGAGAAAGTGGAGCAATATTCTCGCCACGCCAAGCAACAGCCGAGAACAACCTCAGCCCAGTACAAGTCACCTCGTAAGCCATGCTACTGATGCTGGACAGGTTTTCAGTGGGTGCACAATAAACAGCAACATACACATTAATGTAAATCAATAGATATACCACGGCCTGTCATGAACTATTGCTTAAATATAACTTTCTTTACACTGCAAGGCACACCTTCATTTCACAGGTTCAATTGTGGATATAGTTTGTAGAAAAATAACAAATCATGGTTACAAGGCTGCTTTCAACACAAGGCCATTCAAAGAGCTTCACAAAAATGAAAGACATTAGCCTTCATGCTAACCAAGCTAGCCTCCTGTAAGTCCAAATGTCAGATGTGCAAGATGAAGCTGCATCATTATCACATGACTAGACTAACAGAGAGAGAAAGGCACTTTGATATTGAGAGGAAGAGCAAAGCTTCCTCTCTTTCTATCATTGAGTCTGTGAACAGTCTCTCTGCATCAGAGTTTCCGTCAACATGTCCGTTAAAGTTTAAATCTTCCGGACAAAATGAGAAAAGTGCCGGCCAGAGGTCAGCTTTGTTATTTATTGAGCTTTAAAACAAATTGATAACGACTCTATATTAAACAAACTAATATATTAACTACATTATTCAAAAGTGTACAGTAACTTATAACACGGGACATTTTGGATTTGCCGGTCTTCTGCGTATTTTACCAGTCATAGTCCGGTAATTACCGGCTAACGGAAACGCTGCATCCGAGCTGCTATAAAAAGGACACTCTTGCTTGTCATCCAGAAAACAGAACTGACGCTGAGTGCACTGTGTGTGTGTGTGTGTGTGTGTGTGTGTGTGTGTGTGTGTGTGTGTGTGTGTGTGTGTGTGTGTGTGTGTGTGT